CTTTCCTTTCTCCCTTTGCTGCTGTTTTAGAAGAATAAGAAATCCACTATAGAATATGCTGAAAAGAAGCAAGGGTTTAGTCTTGCTGGGTAATGAATACAATCGCCAGGATCCAGCTGCTAGAGCCATTGGTACGAGTGCCAAAATACTCCACTTACATACCTTAAAAAAAAAAATAACGTAGCCTCACAAAAATAATCGAAGGGGTTAATCTTCAAGCTTGCTTCCCCCAGCATCGATAGAGAGCAAAAAGTTATTAATGCCCAAATTCAACTCCTCCAATTAATGGTGTTGTATGATCTGGTGATAAAAAGCAGATAGCATTTGAAAAAAAAAAAGCACTGTCGGTCACAAGAATTCTGTCACAAACTTTCTATTTTCCCTTGGCATATCACCAATTAGACCTACTTCTGTAGTCTGCTACCACCAGTATAAAAAAAAAGCATAATGGGTTTATAATTTGCCACCGAATCCCATAGCAACTGTACGTCACTTTAGATGTAAATTACAGACAATTCTTTCCCATGCAATTTGAAAACTATAGAGATGAATCTATAATTTGAGCAGATCCAAATGGTATATGGTTGAGAGAAAAAGCTACCCTAAATAATTGAAAGGAAACTGCCACAGGCCAAAACATTCCTCATGCACAATGTTAAACGTCTCTTTGTCCCCTTCCTTCAAATGGGAGGTGCCACATTCAGGTCAACATTAAGAACATTTAGCAGGAGTTTAGCAGTTCAGTATGTTCTGCATATCCTGTCCCATTTTTGCTGATTGCGAGGAGATGTACGTGTACAATGAGCTTCCTTTCCAGCCAGCCTCCTCTGATTCATTTAGTCATGTCACCGACTCATGTTCCTGATGTCGTAATAGCTTCAATTTTGACGGACTACAGCATCAGTGAATTAATAGGACAGGAAAAAACAGGTTACAGGAAAGAAGGAATGATGCAAAAAGCTTTAAGATAATTCAATGAATTTTGATTCGAAAGCCGGATTGTTCTTCTCCTCCTGACACCTGCAAGCAGCTTTCAATTCCCAAGTCAGCATGAATACGCATTACCCTAAAGACCCTGTAATGACAGCAGGAGCCTTCATTTTGTATTTTGTGCTTTAAACACAGCAAGATGAAGGCATCTGTAACAACCTGCTCTAAAAGAAAAGTCTGAAAAAGTTCTTTTAATAAGCGGTGACTACAAGGGGTCGGTTTAACCCTAACCTTTGAGAAATATCTTCTGTCACGGTCGGTTTAAGACGAGCAGAGAAGGCATGGGGAAGATGACATGGGAAGCCACGTCTGTCAGATGACGGTTCCAAAATTCAGTTCAGCTAGTAGAGCACAGGGGCAACGTGCTTCGGTTATCTCAGCTTAGCCCCCAATAAATATTTGTGCACCTGCCAAAGTTCACCACTGAATCCAACGGTGGCTTCAGTTCAAAATACTCCGTGTAGCAGGTACAACAGGAGCAGGAGGCACTGTTCAGCTGCTGCATCACGCACTGACCTAAGCGGGAATGCTACAATGCTCCTTACATCCTCCTAAAATCACGAGGCCACGATGCAAGCCAGGACTATGGCTGGCAGCTTAGTTGAGCCTGGCCTCCATCAGCTACAGTTAGGTCAACACATTAGCTACAGATAGTAGAGAAAGGTGTGCAACTGCAGTCACGTTGTTATTGAAAGACGATCCATCACCCAAGCTCACTAGTACCACTCCTCAAGCCACAAAGAGAGTTTTTAAATAAATACGTGAAAGTCAGGAAATTCCCAGGTTCCAGGAACAGCCCTAACACTGTTTACATGCCATCGGCAACTACACCACAACTGCATGAGGAGATGCACCTACTGCCAAGTGACATTTGGGTCTGCCATGTAGCACTTCAAATCATGCACTGAGATTTCTACTTACCCAGAAACCCCCACAACGTTGCTAAAAAATACGGGCATGAAAAGTGAAGGATGAATGCCATGGACAGAGACATATCTAGGTGTATTAGGCGAGGACAGACACAACATCTTGCCATCAAGCATGGAGGACAGGGTCCAGGATAAAGAATTAAAAAGGAAAACAAGGCAGGGGCATGAGGAGTTCCCTTGTACCTTGACATGGGCAGCAAGAAAGCTGGAGGCAGACCAGAAGAGATAAGGAAAAGTCATGCCCTGCTTTTTTGGGGGGGGTGGGAGGGCCTAAACAGAGCCTGTACACACACCCAAAGGGAACACAGAAAACTGCAAGCTAATATAGAATTACACTTCTTGGAGAACCAAGAGTTGTTTTAGGCTAACACACCAGACCAGCTCCATTTCATCAGTGGACAAATTGACTTGGGACACATTTTCCACCGTTCAGCCTTCAGCTGCGGAGCTCAGCAGTCAGCGCTCAGGGTTTCACAACTGTGTGGAAGCAGTTTGAGGGGCAGCAAGTTTCACAAGGAGCAGACAAGCAACATCTTAAAGTGTCCCCTATGAAGCCAGTGTTATTTTTAAGACTTTTATGTCTTTCAGGTGAGCAGACCCCCCCAGCTATGGGAGAAAGAAACCCTTTTAAGGGCCACAAGGAGCCGGCAGCCCTGTGACCTGGACCTCTTCAGCAGCAGCTCCACATTCTCTGTACATGATACAGAAACAGCTTGCTGAAACACAGAGTTGGGCATCAATATGCAGACCCGCGACCGTTTTCTTCACCAAGACACAGACAATTTAGCAGAGCACCAAGCAGGAGAGACTCAAGATGACAAATATCTGTTTCCCCATAGTCCTGCTGCCTGATCCACACACGGTATAGCTCTACACCAAGAACGCAACTGCTCTGGCACAAGGGACACTAAAAACAAATGGCAGCTCGCCCAGCTGGGTGATCATTTTTGGATTATGTAATCCCAATACATTATTATTAGACCAAGAACAAACTCAAGCAAGCAACTGAAGACATTACCCTGCCTGTTCTGGCAAAGAGACAGAGTCTTGTCGCAGAAATTGCACCGACGTGCTATCCTGGTGCATAAAACAGGTCAGACTGCACACATGTTGGACTTCAGGTAACACAAACAACAGTATTGGATTCCAGGCCATTATACATATTACACAACACTGTCGTCAGTTATACCACATTTAAAACCAAACCGAGCAGAAGAAGCCTTAGCAAATTTTTTCCATTTACCTACTGCAGACCAAAATTAAATCAGAGCCTAGACTGGACAAACACACGCTCCGAAGGTGTGTTATAAAGTCGCTTGTTGGCATCGCCATAGCTGAGCATTTCAGAGGAAGCAGAGACATTCAACAAGCTGGAGAAACTGTTTATAGAACAAATGCAGAATGAGCATATGTGTTTAATAGCCCACTAATTGTTGCGTTATTCACTATACAAACAAGCGAGCTCTTCTGCCCTTATCCTTTCCTGCCCATTTAATCACCAGTAGCCTTTGACTATTTCTCTTTTGGGTGGCGGTGAAGGAAGCAAAGTTCATTAGTGGCCATTGGCCACCAAACAATCTAGAGACCAGACTTCATTTAGAAAATAAACACCACTATTCATGTGTGACACGGACTCAGAATAGCTTCCCAAAATATTTAACACAGCTGCCTGTAGTCTTCCTACTCTCCCTCCCCCAAAAGAAAAGACTTTCCTAATATATAGGAAAGCATTTCTTTGGATATTTTTTTTTCTTTTTCAGAGGAAAAAAAGCTAATAACTCAATCTATCCAAGGCACTTATTGCTACTGACTTCTCATAATGCTGATAAACACTCATTAAAAAATAAGTTGATAAACCCTGGTACAGTAATTACCTTCGTCCTCACACAGAAATTGCCCAATTCAGTGATGTGATGTAACCAACACCCTAAATTAAAAATAGTGTTGTGACAACATATGGTTTATCCTACAGAAGCTGGCAGGCAGGACACTCCTAATGACAAACGGGTTAGGTTCCCAGCTTCCCCAGCTCGCTGGCAAGGTGAGGAGACAGATACGCTCTTCGTAGGATCAGAGGCGTAAGAAAAAAAAAAAATTACAATAAAAAAAGACAGCTTTTAATCCCTCTCCTGTCCATCCTAACGACAGATGTCAAGTATTGCCATTATTCTTTATTTACATGACTAATAAGCTCTCTGGATGCATTTCAAGGAAACATCTCAGAAAAGACAATCTGGAAATTTCAAAATACAGCCCCAGCCTGAACCCGCCTCCCCCCAGGGAGGGGAGCACCGGGCTGG